TGTGGTATAAAAAGACATAATAGTTTACGTACTTTTGAAAGAAATCCCGGGGAGCCTCGTTGTCGTAGAATCCCAAAATAATTGTGTTCGGTTTCATTGCTCCGATTCCCGACAGGCGAATCAAGTGCTGGACTCCCTCCCGGATGCTCCGGCTCAAGGTGACCTCCGTGAAGGCCTTGACTCTCATGTGATCCAGGAACGACCACCACTGCTGGTTCTCCTCGGCATCTTCCACACCCTTGAAGTCACCCAACTTCACATGACCAATGATGTACAAACCACTCTTCTTCAGGTCATTGACAAAATCCACCAAGGGACAGCAGGAACGGGGTGATGAGACCAACAGCAGGATTTGCGGACGCCAGAATTTAACGTGATCCTTGCGGGGATCCAGCATCAACAAGTACTTTCGCACCTGGTGGAACATCAGGGCCTGGGAAATCGAGCCCCATTGAGCTGCTTGAGTGGCCGGCGAGAATAGGTGCAATGCAATCACAAGGATGAGACACAAAATAATGCAGGACGAGGCGTAAATGGGGTTGATCACAAACATCATGATCAGGGTGCCCAGTAATCCAACCAGACAGGTGTGCCAGGTGAAGTACTTGAAGAGCGGTCTAAAGTTTGGAGCACCCGTAAGCTCGATGCCCAAGCAAGCCAGGTTGGTGGCCAAATAGGACAGCATGAAAAGCACCGAATTAATCTGGGCAATGATGTTGAAGGATCCTATCAGCAGGATGCACTCCACGAGGCACCAGCTCACTGCAACCGCTGCTATGGGATTTCCCTTCCAAGTTCCATGAAGCACAAAGTTCAGCAGGCTTCCGAAGACTTGATCCTTAGACAAGGCCTCCAAAATCCTACTGGAACCAATCAGGTTGCTCAGACTGGTGGAAAAGGTAGCGGTCAAAATTCCAATCGCCGTAAATGGGGGCCACAGATTCACAGGCAACAAAAACAGATAATTATTCTGCATGGTGAGGTACGGAGTTGTGCAGCTCATCAGGAAGGACAGGATGATGTAGGAGACGAATGTGAACGCCACCGCAGATAGTGTTCCCCAGGGAATGCTCTTCGATGGGTTCTTTAGCTCCCCGGACATATTCGCTCCGGCCATAATTCCAGTAACTCCCGAAAACAGCACACCGAAGGTAGTGGAGAAATCCACTTGCTTTCCATTCGAAGTGTAATCATGGCCGTAGTGGGATCCCAGATTATCCCGCAGCGTGGTGGTATTGAGACCCGTATAGTCCAGAAATTGTGTAGTGTTTGATAAACTATTGTCCCCGGGTACGGGTATCTGAAATTGGAATATAATTTTTGTTATCGCAACGTTAAAAACTTGCAATTAACAAATCGTATAAAATAGGAACATGTATAAAAAATCAAGTACTTTTTATTTATGCTTTTTTTACAATAGCATGCAATCGGCACGCTCTCTTCATGACTCAAACAGTCTTATCAGTTTTACTTTGCCTTGTCTTGTTTTTGATATGTATTTAGAATAGGGGATTTAATAAACAAAACAAATGAAGATTATTTTGGTAATGGAACCTTGTCTTTAAAAGGGGGTTTTGCAAAACCAACTGCAATAATTTTTAGGGATAGGTTTGTCTTTTGTGAAGAACCTCCAAAGAGTTCAAATAATTAGGGGATTTACAAATCTAATTTTGTGATAAGTCTGAAATCTCACGATTATTAATATGGGAAACACATTCTAAAAACAACTTCAATGGCTAACTGAACCAAAAAGGATGTATCGCCACATTACTCATTCATAATTACTACTTTATAAATCAAACATAAATTTCTTGTAATTTTGTGAAAAATATTTTAGGTAAACCCCTTTAAGACAGTAATTTAATAAATATTTGTGAGTCAGCATTGCATAGTTTTTCTGACCAACTCCAACTGAATATTTATCAACTTCGATAAGCCTTGAACAAATATTTAAAATAAACCCAAATTGAGCCATAGATAGCCTAGATATTGATAGTCACATCTACACACAAAAAAATTTGCTTGGTAAAATTGACCAACAAAGATAGTTACGTAACTATTAAAATAGTTACATGTATTTTGTTTTTGCTTTGGGTTTGTGTCTTTGCTAATTGTGTGTATTTTGTTGTTGTGAAATGACAATTTACTTAGTAGAATTGACAATTTTGCTGGTTGGGGCCTGTTTGACAATTATTACAGTTGATTTTACCAAGTTTTTTTTTTGTGTGTAGATTGATAAGCAAGACAGGGCTTTTGCTAAATGAGCAATTGGTACACAGAAAAAATGTAAAAAGTTAAACAAATTTTGAAATTAATTGAAAATAATACTAATAAAAATAAACTAAATTTTCTAGCATTTTGGTTCCACATATAATTTGTCTAATCATAAAATCATTTCTTTGGAAAATTACTTATCGATACGAGAACTTTTTACATGCAAAAGAATTAGACATTTTTTTTCGGTGTACTACAAGATATCTTACCGTATCATTGGTGGCGCCCACAACCAGGAAACTGATGTACGTGGCGAACAGGCAAACGGTCACGGTGCCCAAAATAAGCACTGACGTCTTTGCGAACAGAGCGGCACCCACCAGGCAGACCAGCAGCTGCAGGGTATTTATCAAGCTGCTGGTAAGGAAGCGCCACCAAGGGCCATCCTCAAAAGGAGAGCCGAAGTGCCCACGCGGTCCGAAGTTATCCATGATACCCTCGGTGCAACCGGAAATGGCCATCGCAGATCCCACCACATTGGCAAAGAAAAAGAGGGTTCCGATCGAGCCACCAAACTCTAAGCCCAGCGTGCGACTGATCATGACTAGATAAAAATGTGATAAAATTGTGATTAAAAGATGTTAATAAAAATACTTAAAAAAAAATTAAATAACAATTAAAAGATGTTAATAAAAATATTTAAAAAAAAATTAAATAACAATTCATCGTTAGAAAAGTGTGAAAATTAGCGCATGAAATATTTGACAAGACTTTAAGTTATGATTGACTGGGCAGTCAACGCAAAATAAATGACCACAAGTCAGATAAAATATATTAAAATATTTCACTTGAGCGTAAGTGTACTTTTATTACTTGAAATATTTGTTGCATTAAAAAGGAAGTTCATTTCAAGACATTTTACTGTACATTTATCTGGTTTAAGGCAATGAATTCCATGTTTAATAAACCAGATAATTATATTGAATTTTTGTACTTATTTTCTGATTATGAGGAGTTGGCAACGGAATTAAATAAAATTTATATTTAAGGGTATATTAATCATGATGTTTTATACATCTTGTGGTTTTTTAATGTTTATCAATAGACCTCGGATTTTAAGTATACGTACTTATATATTCGCGTCAAAACATTATATTTCAAGAAAACTGCGGTGGGAAACACTGTTTTTAAAGATTTATCATAAGCTTAAATTACATTTTCTGTTTAAGTAAAATCCGAGATAAATTGATATAACAAAAAAATCTATCAACTCACAATAAACGCCTCCTCCTTCTATTGCTCCATTGGTCGAAATCGCGCAGACCGAAGCCACAGTGAAAAGCAGAATTGCGTAGGCTATGAGGAACTGCAGCAGGGTTATGTACAGGCCCGCATTTCCAACAATGTAACCTTAACAAAGAAAAGAGATACAATATAGTGGAAAAGTTCGATGGACCATCACAACAAGTGTTTTGTGACGTCACCGCCGAACTTACCGACTCGGATGAAAACCAAAGCACTAAACATGGACAGAGCCACCGGACTGAAGACTCCGGCGAATGTGCCCAGTGTGCGTCCGTTATTCCGTTCCGGATCCTGCATCCCGAACTCCACATAGCCATCGCCATCCTGCGGCGTGGGCGGGCGGTCTCCGCTGTTTTGGCTGCCGCCGAAAAGGGATCCGAAGCTGCGGAAAACGCTTCCCGAGCGACCGTTGCCGGAATTTGCAATGGGAGCCGTCTCCTGCTCCGCGGAAGCGCTCATCTCGATGTCCGTGGTGCGAGTGCGAGAAATCCGGAAACACTGAAAACGTCCAAGCGAACGCCTCTAATTTCCAGCTGTCGCAGACCAATCCAATAAGAATAATCACAATCACGGGCGGGGCTAGTTACGCGACAACGGGGTTCTATTCACGGGAAAGATAATGCCAACTACTTTAATCACCCCTAAAGTCATATAAAGTGTAAAATATTTAAATAACAAGACATTTATTGTTCTTAAACTGAATATTTCTGTTCATAAAATATTATAAATTGTTAGGTGTTGGAGCTTTCAACCCCCACTACGCCACTGAACTTTAATAGTATGGCATCACTCTCAAATATACTACAAAGTAGTGAAAAATATACTAAACTAAACAAATCTTTTTTCAGTATATATCGCATAAATAGCGATAGTTGGACAAATGTTTTGAATATTTATTCTTTTTTTTTTAATTATTTTGTAAACCCCCTGAACCTGCGCGAATATTGTCTACAACGTCGTGCACTTAAAGCTAAAAGAAACAAAGTCTTAAAAAATATTATATTTTCTAAAAACACAAGACATTTTATTAATATAAAAGCTTTTTTGCACCGTTACAGCGTTAAGTGTCTGTTTGACGATTTTACCGGATGCTCCATAGGTAATCTAATCAGCAGAAAATCATTTGTGAATATGAAATTAATTTTCCGTACCAGCGATAATAACTAAAAGCCCTTTAAATAAATTAAACATTTAAACACAGAAATCGCAAAATCCAAACGTTTCTAAATCTTTTTACATTTTCATATGAAAGAAATATTTAAAAAAAAAAGTACTTAAAAGCGAAATTTAAAATAGGAATCACCGATGGATGACCAAGCGTTTGATGATAAGGCATCATTGTCTCTAAGTATAGTATATAGTTAATTGGTCGGCATATCAAGGAATTGATAATAAAATATTGCTCTTCAAATAGATAAGTTTGGGTTTTCTTGGGGGTGTTTTTGTATAAAACTGACACCTTAGCCGTGCAATTCCTCAGTACGTAAAGTAAGTTTTTTTATAATGAAGACCTTGCAAATCGCTCTTGTCCTTTCTGCCATTTTGGCCATTGGTTTGGCTGCAAATGCCAGTTGGGGCGCCAAATTATCCAGCAGTAAGCTAGCTAGCACCCAGAACGTAACCATCCACAAGAAGGCAAATGTAAATGCGACCGTAAAAATTATTTTCCCAGTGGCGGTGAGTAGCTTTATATTTTACCCCTAATTAATAAGTATTTTAAACGTACTTCTTCTTTAAACAGGGCACGACCAACACCAAAACTATTCGGTACATAAGTATAATTGATAGGTTCACCAACAGCTCGGGTCCCGTCTCCAAGATAGCTCTGGGTGGTATTGGTTATTCATACGCCACAGTCAATGTCACAAGCCAGCCATCCCAAGGAATCAACGTCACTGCCCAATTCTGGGTCGATGCCTAAAATGCTCCGGCGCACTTCATGGATTATAATATAACAAAATATAAAAAAAATAATGTTCGCAAATTCTTTTCTTTTCAAATAAATATATTTAAAGAAGTGGCAACCAGACTGTGGAATCATCTTTAGTTAATAAAGAGGATAAAGGTTTTTTAGCTTGTCAAAATGTAACATACATATTGTACTCGTATTAGGATTAATATTTGGATTACAGAGGTTATTAGCTAATATATCATTGTCATAGTAAATATTGAGTTCAGTTATAAAAACATCGAGAAAAAAAAAGTTCTCATCGATGTTGTCTTCAGTATTTTCGATCTCTGGGTGTACTTGCTGTTATAGAGTTGCAATAATGTTGAAGATGTATTGCGCTTACAATTTTTTACAAATTTATTTCATAATTTCATTTACTCTCACTTGACAGGAGTAGCAAAAAAGTAAAATCTAAGAAAATTGGAAGAAGTCGTTAGACAATTCCAGACAATATCAATACAATTACTTATAAAAGCCATATTTAGACATCCTTGGACTCAGACTTCGTAAGATCGACAGTTGCACTGCTTTTTGAAGACTTTGAAATGTTGACATCTCAAAAAAATATCTTGTCATATTTAAAATGTTTGAGGGATTCGCATATTCGAATATTGGTCCATGAGCTCTTAAGGAAACAAGCAATGAATTTTGGGAATCTGAGCTGTATTTGTATTTTTTCATTTTCATACCTAGGCACATCAAAAACGCTCTGTTTTCTTGTTTAATTATTATTGTTAATCTTCTTCCAGGACTGAACTTGAGTTCAGGAGCGCAACAACTTAAGATATTATTATTGTTATTGATATTTTACGAAAAAACCGTTGCTTTTTAGTATGACCGTACTAGGGGCGCCTAACTACTGTTTGGTATGAATTTAAACATGGTACTATCGATAGGTAAGGCGTTAGTGATTTATCGTCTTCATCAGCTGTTTCTTCTTGAAGCCGAAAAAGTTTACAAATCTTAAATTAATTTGGAAAATAAGAATGGTTAACGATAAAAAGCGTCGCTCACGATCGCGGGAGCGTTACAGGGAGGATCGGCCGGCGGTGGGGAATCCGCGCGATCGGGAACGGGACAGAGACCGTGCGAGGGAGCGGGATAGGCAGTACGAGAGGGAGAAGGACAGACGCCAAAGGCGGTCGCGTTCCCGGTGAGTTTTCAAATTATGATGAAATGTGCTCCCCAGACTAACAACCTCTCGTTTTCCAGGGAGGATCGCGTCAGGCGAAGGTCGCCCGAACGTCAGAGGCCCAGGGAAAATGTCCGTGAGCGGTCCAGAGAAAGAGCAGGAGCTCCATCAGCTGGTGGTGCTGAAAAAAAGGCCAAAATGGATGCTGGCGATGCTGCTCCACCCAAACCCTTAATAGTCGACGACGAAGAGCTGCGGGACGACAAGGATGGCAAGCTGAAGAAGGAGCCGCTCTCGCTGGAGGAGCTGCTGGACAAGAAGAAGCGAGAGGAGGAGGCCAGGAGCAAGCCGGTCTTCCTGACCAAAGAGCAGCGCGCTCTGGAGGCCATCAAGCGGCGCCAGGAGGAGGTGGAGCGCCAGCGAGCCGCCCACGATGCGGCCCGTGAGCAAATGGCTGCCGCCAGCAAGGTCAGCATCTCCATGGGCACGGCCATGGCCTCGGGAGCTCCGCCGCCGGCCATCATGGCACCGCCACCCAAGCCGGAGCGTCGGGAAAGAGGAGGCGGGCGGGATCGGGGCGATAGGGGCGATCGCGGAGAGCGAGGCGATGACAAGCGGGCCGAGGATCTCACCCACAAGGACAAGGAGAAGGAACTGGAGGCCATTAGGGAGCGTTACCTGGGCATAATCAAGAAAAAGCGTCGCGTTCGCCGGCTCAACGATCGCAAATTCGTTTTCGACTGGGACGCCGGGGAAGATACCTCCATAGACTACAACAATCTGTATAAAGAACGTCATCATGTTCAGTTCTTTGGCCGAGGAAACGTGGCCGGCATCGATATCAAAGAGCAGAAGCGCACGCAGAGCAAATTCTATGGAGATCTCCTAGAGAAAAGGAGAACGGAGGCGGAGAAGGAGCAGGAGAAGGTGCGTCTAAAGAAGATGAAGCGAAAGGAAGACAAACAAAAGTGGGATGATCGACACTGGTCCGAAAAGGACAACGACGAGATGACCGAACGCGATTGGCGCATCTTCAGGGAGGACTACAATATCACCATCAAGGGTGGAAGGATTCCCAATCCCATTAGAAGCTGGAATGAGTCCGGTTTCCCCAAGGAGATCATCGACATCATCGATAAGGTGGGCTACAAGGAACCCACGCCCATTCAGCGGCAAGCTATTCCCATTGGCCTGCAGAACAGGGATATTATTGGCGTGGCCGAGACGGGTTCGGGTAAAACATTGGCCTTCCTCATACCCCTGCTCTCGTGGATTCAGTCGCTGCCCAAGATCGAACGCCTGGAGGATGTGGATCAGGGTCCTTATGCCATCATCATGGCTCCCACGCGCGAGTTGGCCCAGCAGATCGAGGAGGAAACAACCAAATTCGGCCAGCCCCTGGGCATACGAACGGTGGTCGTTGTGGGCGGTTTGTCCCGAGAGGAGCAGGGCTTCCGCCTGCGTTTGGGCTGCGAGATTGTCATCGCCACGCCCGGCCGTCTCATTGATGTGCTGGAAAATCGCTACTTGGTGCTCAACCAATGTACGTACATTGTTCTCGACGAAGCCGATCGCATGATAGACATGGGCTTCGAGCCCGATGTCCAGAAGATCCTGGAATACATGCCTGTTACAAACCTAAAGCCCGATACCGAGGAGGCCGAGGACGAAACGAAGCTAATGGAGAACTTCTACACCAAAAAGAAGTACCGCCAAACCGTGATGTTTACGGCTACGATGCCGCCGGCTGTCGAGCGATTAGCTCGTTCATATCTCCGGCGACCGGCGACGGTTTACATTGGATCCGTAGGAAAGCCGACAGAGAGAACCGAACAAATTGTCTACATGATGGGCGAGAACGACAAGCGCAAGAAGCTCATGGAAATTTTATCAAGGAAGATCGATCCACCGGTTATTATATTCGTCAATCAAAAGAAGGGCGCCGATGTGCTGGCCAAGGGACTGGAGAAGCTGGGCTACAACTCCTGCACGCTGCACGGCGGCAAGGGTCAGGAGCAGCGAGAGTACGCATTGGCTGCCTTGAAATCGGGCGCCAAGGACATTCTGGTGGCCACCGATGTGGCTGGTCGTGGTATCGACATCAAGGATGTGTCCCTGGTCATCAACTACGACATGGCCAAGACCATCGAGGATTACACCCATCGTATTGGTCGTACGGGTCGTGCTGGCAAGACTGGTTGTGCCATCTCGTTCGTCACCAAGGACGACAGTGCTCTGTTCTACGACCTGAAGCAGTGCGTAACTGCGAGTCCTGTCTCGACCTGTCCGCCGGAGCTAACGAATCACCCGGAGGCGCAGCACAAACCGGGCACGGTGGTCACCAAAAAGCGAAGGGAGGAGAAAATATTCGCCTAAAATCAGCACATTTTAAGCGGAACTACTTTAGGCTAACACTACAAATTAATAAAGTTGGATATGCCAAAAGCTATTCCTTGGCATCCAAATTTTCATTTTTAAATACTTGTTTGATACTTTGGCACCAGTGCTGCCATCACTCAGCTTAAAAAAAGGAAAGATCTGCCAAAAAAAAAAAGCGGGAAAGAAAGGAAAAAAAATGTAAAAAGTACAAAAAGAGGACAAAAGTTACTTCTTCAATATTTTTGTGTTTTAGTTAATAGGTTAAATTTTTTACTAATTTAAATTTCTTTATTGCTCATCCGACCGTTTCTAAACTTATCGCACATTTTTCTGTATAAAAAAAACCGGCGCCCCTGAAAAGATATTTTTATTATTTTGTAACATTTAACCCTTTTTCTTAAAACGAAAAGTCAAATTTTTTTTTAGCAGATCGAAAAAAATTCTGGAATTCAAAAATTATAAAAATAATATGCAAAAGGTTTGTATTAATTACATCTAACCAGTTTTAAAAAAAAAAATCGAAAAGGTATTTAATTTTTTTAATTATTTTTTTATATTATTTTTTATTTTTTTTATAAAATCCCAACCAATACCAACGACTAGAAAAACTAACATTAAAAAACTTGTTTTCGAAAAAAGGACAGATTTCCGGACATTGGATGATTGAAGTTTCTTCCGGATAAAGCCGTTAAAAAAAGGACAGATCTGTCCGGAGAAATGACAAAATGGCAGCACTGTTTGGCACATAAAAATAGGAAAATTTAGATTTTGTAGCGTTTATTTACACAGCTCTCATCTCTGTAATCTCAAAAAGAACGCATTTCTGCTCTGCTTCGAGTCCAGCGGCATGTACTTGTCGTAGAAGTCAAGAATGATTTCCTCCATCTTGAAACCGAACTTTTGGTACAACATCACTGCGGAATTGGTGGCGGAAACATGCAACGTTATGTCCTTGGAGCTGCACGTCTGGATGAGATGGTACAGCATAAAGCTGGCGATGCCACTCCGTTGCCAACTGGGACGCACGGCCATGAACGAGATGTAGGCCTCATTGTAGCCCACATCGGGCACCAGAAATCCACAGCCGACTACCAGTTTCTTATACAAAGCCACTACACTGTAGTCCGGATAGCTGAGGCACTCGCTCACTGGAATTAAAAGGGGTCATATAAGTATAAAGGAAAATTTAAAATTTAGAAACACAACCCACCATCAATATTCGGCCAAAAGGAGCTCTGCAGCAATGCATTCACCGCTGGAATATGCTGTGGTCTCACAAAGCAAAAGTCAACAGTGGATCTCGTGGGATGCGATCCGTTCACTCGGTGCTGCAGCTCGCACATGAGTTTTAGCCAGGGCGGAGCCATCGTTTCGCTGCGGAAGATGAAGGGGTGGAGAACTCGCTGCGAGTAGGGCGACTGAAAGAGCTCGTATTGAGTGCATCCTGCGAGACGAGCGTGGAAGGAACTCCTTGCATCCTGCCGCGAATGGGCCAAAAGTTGATATCTATCCAGTATTTGAGCCTGCTGATGACCCAGCATTTTTAGGCGCGCTCTGCCCAAGGGATCTATATGCTCATCGAGGTTAAATATGGGGCGATTGTGGTCCCTTTTCCATTTCCGCAAGGACAGCTTTCGATACAGACGCCGCACATAGGCGGGTATGGTTATTTGGCATTGCCGCTCTAAGGAGATAATTCCATGCAGGCGTTGATACAACTTCTGCTCCTCGTACACGCTCATCAATTGAAGATTTTCGCTGGGTATGGCCAGGTCATCGGAATCCTGCGCCTCCTGCAGCCAAGGCCAGTTTCTCCGGGGCTGTCTCACAAATCCACTTGGTTTGCACTGCTCTATAAACGGCGTTTCAGCCTGTAGCGTATCGTCTTCATCTTGCATTTCCTCTTCCATTGGCTCCTCTTTAACCGCTTCACTTGCCTCTTGCACCTGGTAATTTGTGACCTGCACAATGCGTGGCTGTTGTGCGTCCTCTTCTTCCGTTTTGTCATCCTCTTCCTCGCCATCTTTTGGCTCCTCACTGCTTTCGGTGCAAGCCTCCTCTGTTGAATTGGTTTTCGACTCCTCTTGGACCTCTTCTTTGATGTGTTTCGTTCCCCTGACTTCCTTGGTGCTACTTGGTAAACCAAAACTAGTATCCATATCGTATAGACCTTCACTATTCGAAGGCGCCTGCAGCAGAGGTTCGGTCATGAAAAAATCGCTTTTACCCGCGCCAATCAGGGGAGGAGGCATTATGCCTGGTAGGCTACCAAACATGCTGAAATCATCGCCTCCCAAACTCTCAGCCAGGAAATCCATCAGACTAGCTTGAACCATGCTCAATGGTTGATGCTGGGGTTCCTCAGGGGGTGGGACTGTATTTTCTTGGGGAACTAATGGCGTCGGAAGTGGTTCCTGTGGCGCGGCTACAGGTGGTGCCTGCACCTTGGGCTGGCAACCCATATAGGGACTAAAAAAAGGGGAAGATATGTACAATAAGTACAGTGAACTTGTTTGAAATTCTTTAAGAGACATACATGGTACGGGCACAGCCTTCTGCTGAGCTGTTTGTTTCGGGTTCAACTTTTATAAGCTGAGTGTCCTGGCTATGATCGGTCACCGAGATCTCGCTGCTGCAGCTGGTCTCATCGGCGGCGGGCAAACGCTTTTCAATCCGTAATTGCTGCCGCTGCAGTTGCTTTTTCTCATCTGCACAGAAAAAAAATGGTAATGGTCAATTTGATATTTCTTAAAGATCAAGTTATCACTTTATGATTATTTTGATATGAATAAGATTATGTTAATTTTTTTTATGTAAATTTTTCTTACCAAAAAAATCATGCACTTAGAAGAGTCCTAAAATTTTTTTAAATACGCCAATTTTTTTGTTAGCCATTGTAGTTTACAAATCCGTAATAATTTATATTTATTTGATTTTTATAATAAAACTGAAAAAATAACTGTTATTTTTTGATTTTTATGTATAACAATTATTCTCTTGACATTAAAAAATTAAATTAAATTAAAGAATTAAAAGAAACATGCTAACCGTGTTTTATAAAACTTACTAAAAATCTTTAAAAAAAAAGCCAACCATGCATATTGTATAATTATATTTTTTTTTAATTTGTTTTACCCAGAAAATCGCCATAAATCAAGTTTGTGTTTTATTTTTAATCACTACAAATAACTGTTATTTGTCAACTTTTATTATAAAACTCAAAAAATAACAGTTATTCTTTGAGTTTTACTTTACAAATCCGGAAATAACTGTTAAAATGTGATTTTTAACATAAAACTCATAACAGTTACGGTCCCTGGATATGATAAAATATCACGTTGATATGTTTGAATCTTAGATTTGACATAAATCATATCGGCTTTTTATTGATATGAAATAAGATAGAAAAAACCAGGGACCGTAAATAATCATTATTTGAGTTTTTTATTTTAAAAAGACTACTGTGATATTTTGTTTTAGAAGTCAAAAATAACGTTCTTTTTACTCTTGTCCACAAAGTATATGCATTTCAACAAATCTGGAAAGCAAATTAAGTGTTATTTGTTCATGTCTATAAAGTGCATTAAAACCAGTTAAATTGGTGATTAAAACTTGTAAAAACCTCAGTAGGCCTATAAATAAAAATCTCAAATAATGATTATTTAGGGTCCCTGGAAATAACTCTATTTCATATCGGTTTTTTTTTCTGTGTGGTGGGAGGATGTTTAAAGACTTTATTGTTTTACTTACATTCCCTGAGGACACTTCTTGGCGTTAAGAAGGGCTTGGCCAGTTTCCACCAGCCGTGTTCCTGAAATACATCCAGGCCCGACTGAAAGTACTCCGGACTGTTGTGGGACAGGGCTCCAGATACAGAACCCGTCCATTGCTTCCGGCGGCGACTAAAAAATATGAATTTTGTAGGGTTTTATCAAGAATTAATTATTTTACGACCACCTACACATTGGGTCCGAATATGAAGTTCCAGTTCTTGTCCACAAAGCTGATGATGTGGGTGCGCCAGTGGAAGAAACCGTGGTGGCCCAAGCCCTTCTGTTTGATGGACAGATTGTATAGCGTTAGCGTGAGCACCAGTAGCCAGGGAATCCTTTGGCGCAGTATCACTTCCTTGATGGGCTCCAGGGACGTGGGCACCGCCGATCCTTGCGCCTTGTCCAGCACGCACTTGACGCACGTGAACTCAAAGAAAATGTCGCCTAAAAGATCCCCGGGCGTGCTCGCATGTGGCAGGCACTTGATGTGCACCATTCGGCGGCACTGCTGGCACTCCAGGTAGTTGTCATCCTCCACCGCCATTTCGCAGTATCTGCAGGGTCCTTGGGGATCATCCCAATCGCTGGGCCGATTCATTTCGAACGTTAAATTTGAAAGAAATAATGGAAATCAACAGTTTGTTTATAAATTTAGAGAAACACATTAGCTATCGATATTACTCGGCGTTATTTGTGGGGATCTATCGATAGCCCCGGTCAAGAATACTAAATACTAAGAAAATACCGTCAAGGGCCCTCTGGTGGGTGGGAATTGGAACGTATTTGAACGGAAATTTGAATATAAGATATATTTGTAATTCAAAACAATGTTCCATTCTATTTATTCTAATCTTAGTTTAGAAGAATAACAATACCAGTAAATTTAAGTTTATTAATTACTAATAGAAAATTTTACATAGTAACTTTAAATCCCATTCAGGAAAATTTCAACTTTGATAATTCGTTGTTAACTGTTTACTTTAAATAAAAAATGGTTTTAAATATGATACTAAATAATAAAAAAATAAGACAAATAATTACCTAAAGGAAAATTAATAAGAACAAGAGTCCGAATTTCCCTTCGCACACAGAATCTCCTTGATTTGTGCAGTACAGGATGGCCGATTGATCAAACATGCGGCTGTCACGCCTCCACCCACCGACCACCGTTCATTGGCAATGCAACGAAAATGACATTAATGGGCTCTTTACGGCTTACGCATAATTAAGGCCGTTTCCGGCAGACTCGGGCTTTAGACTTGGGCCCATGCTTTTGGCCTGGCCAATGTGTTGTCTTAAGCGGGCCTAATTAGGCATCGCCGGCTGTTCTGTTCGGCTGGAGCTGTTGCTTCTGCTGCTGTTGTGTGTTTGATGAAGTGCATGATTGGTTTACGGGTTCAAGTGGGATGGTCGAACCTGCGCCGCCCGTGTTTTCCCAGCCCCCATAAGTATGCAGCGGTTGAAAGAGTTTCAGGATACTCAGCCGCCAGATATGGATTTACAGATTTGTGAAAAAAATTGTTTGTCTAGGTTGTAAATTTAAAAGGTTTTAAAAAAAAATGTATTTCTTATTTAGAAATTAATTTTCTTTATTTTGAAATGATTTTTTCCGCTTTTTGATGATATTTTCGATGTTTTCTTAAATATAACATTGCAATTAAATTCTGTACCCACTGCCTTAATTTTATGTTAAGTTGAATGAGTTGAATCCATTCAACTTGCCAGTCTACAGCCCTTGAGGAGATTTTCATTTCATTCGCGACTGCCCGCTGGCAAATAAAAAAAACGTAAAATATGGTGAAATAATTTAATTTTTCTTGCAGGCAGCCAGTACCAGACCTAAAGAGACCAAGGAGTAAATTATGAGTAAAGATATGTATATATATTTTATTTATACAAAATCCCAAAGATTAAAAATACAAAGGGTTAACAATTCAACATTTGTTTCCTTAAATCCACGTAAAAATATGTTCTCGAACTCAAAGTCTATTTGCTGGACAGCCTTCACGAGTAAGCTTGACAAATTGGTTAGTCCCTCTTACTGATTATGACATTTACAGATGTGATGCTGGTAAGTATTTGATTGGCTTCCCATTTTGTTACCAACAACCGATTTTGCTCTCAATCAACAGACTTATTTCACCTTTAGTACCACCCACCACCCTCTTGACCCTTCCCATGACATCGAATACAACAAGGTTATGGGTTGACCGCTTTCCGGAACGAAGCGGAAAAGCAAGGGAAAAATATAGAGGCATCCCCATCGAGAGGGGCAAACAAACGCCGTCTGGCTGTCACTTAATCGAAGCCATTAGCGTTATTAGTGGGGCCGGTTCCAGCCGATGCACTGAGAAAAAAGCCTTGTGTAAAATATATTTAATAAATTTTTAAATCGCACCAAAATATACTATTTAATAAGTTTAAAAATTTTCATTGAAATGTCAAAAATATTATATATCTTTCTTAATGCATTTGATATATTTTAAGTCCTGTGTTCATCCTATTCCCACGCCTGACTGGCAGCCAAGTAGAGTGCAAAGAGCGTCTGGACATTGTGTATGTAATCCGCCTGTGACTCTAAAGGGACCTTCCACTCCAAATCTCTCGCAAAGGACTCTCACGTAGTCAGCTAATGATATATTCTGCTGCAGGCAGGATCTATAGGCCTGATCTAAGGCATTCTTAGTCTCCTCATCGCCAAAAGATCTCGGCCAGTCCTCCAAGAGAACGTCTATATCCTTTCGGGGCTGGGCATCGTACATAGATTGCGTCATATGGACTTGTTCCACCTCAGAGATCCACTTGTCTATATCCTTGCCCGATCGGGCGGTGGGAATTAGCGAAGCGGAGGAGGCATGCCGCGGATTACGACCCATGCTACCGCTTAGTACCGATCGAAGTTTCATATTCAGGAGACTGGGTTCACTTTGAGTTCCCGAGGGTTCGTCAAGCAGCCATAGGCCCAACTTCTCCAAGTGATCATTCAACTCCTTCTGCCGCTGGGGTTGCAGGAGCGGAGGAGCCTGAACTTTCAGAAGGGCATCCACATCGCCCACGGCGGGCACAAATTCGGGGATAAAAGGTTGCAGATGAAACGGGGTATCGATCGTTTGTGGGGTGTATTTTACGATATAGGGAAACAGTTCCTTGAGTTCTCCGGGCAGGGATAATTCCTCCCATTTATCCGGACTCATGTTAAAGGATTGTTCTTCATGTCGCTCGGATCTGCCAGCGCCACCAGCACTGCTCCTCATGGGCAAAGTCAGCTTATGGTGCGGCAGCTTGGCACCACCTCTGGCACCTCCGGATCCCATTCCTCCACCCATGGCAGCTTCCTCGCTTCCGGAACTCATGGTGTCATCAGGCAGTGGCTTGGAACTCCGGTTGCTTCCCGGCCGCTTTTGGGCATGGGGTCCCGGCACCAGACCCGTCATCCCCACACCCATGGTCATTCCCTGCGGCAATTGCATCTCGCTGTCATCGTCATCATCGCTGTCCGCCTCGTCATCGTGGTCGATGATGTCCTGCAGAAGGCCATCGTCATCCGTCGAGTTGCTTTGGAATTGCTGGGTGGGAAGAAGATGTTGATTAATAAGGATTTTAAAATTTTTATAACTTAACAGACAGAAGAATATCATAAAACGATTTTTTTATTGGTTATTAAGTCCCCTAAGCAATGAAAATATTTTATTTTTAAGGTACTAACTTTAAGAAAATCCAAAGAATACATTTACAATAATCCAATTAATGCAATATTTAAGTTTGAAGGTACTAACTTTATAAAATCCGAAAATAATCAAATTAATAAAGATATAATAAAAATTACGGAAATCTTTAGTCTGCTGACCAACTATACAATTACTCAGAAGAATAACTTTAGATCAATAAGACTTCTTCCGTGAAATTTAATTTTTCGGGGCAGTCTCATTTAAATTTATATATGTATCTTTTTCATTTGCGGAATTTACCAAATAAAATTCTTCACCACTCACCATTCGACGATGCCTGCCCGCGGCTGCTCTTTGTGCACCTCCAGTGGCGCCACCTGCCCCTCCTTCTCCGCCCACTGCTCCTCCCTCTGCGACACCCCCCTGGCACCTCCTGGTCCACCATTTCGCGGCTCCAGTTGAACACTGCTCAGATGCTTTGAGTCGGGTCCGCTGATTGTGATCTCCTCATCGTAGAAGTTCATGGCCATGGCCAGCTGCGAGGACCCGTACTCAGATTCAAATAGCTCTCCAGCTGCGAGTCCTCTCGAGCTATTCAGTTTCCTTTCGCCCGTTTTCCTGCCCACTTCCTGGTTTTCCGCGAAAATCCGCACAACACTTGTCTTGCAATTTTCCGCTCCTTTTGCAGGTGCTGCGTCCTCGTCCTTGTTTCCTTCCTTCGGTGCGGAGTTTTCTTTATCACAAAATATTCGGGTTTTTCAGCGTTTTCCGTTTGGTTTTGGCTGCCTTTACTTGCTTACCTGCTGGAAAGTTGTCAATTGCTTTGGCCAATGCCGGTGTCGATGTCGATGTGGTCGTCTTGACAACGCAACCCAGAAAATACTGCGAGAAATATTATGTCCCTAAATACAACAAAATTAAATTGTTTATTAAAAATATTTAAATTAAATTTATAAATCAGAAAGGGAACTGCTACTATTTTTTAAGAAAATAGAAAATAAAACCAAATATATTTTACACAGAATTATAATTTTATTATTAACATTTTACTTTCTGATTATGTCCCTTGTAAAGTCGTATTCTTTTTTAAGTATACTTATTTTACTTTCAGGTTTTAAGTGTTTTTTATATATTTTTATTAAAACATTTTTCTCTCAATGTATCGAGTGGTTGTTATTGTCATATCCTTTTTGGCCTGCGAAAACATTTACAGCTGAAACAGTGGCCTTTGTTATGGGCCAGGGTTTTAATTACATTCAATTTTTGAACCGATTTACCATCACTCGCCGTTCGGTCTGAGTCCATTTAAATAATTTGTAGCTACTGTTTAAAGGGCGGTTTATGGCGGCGATTTATTAATGAACATGTGAAATTTCGTACACCTCTCAAGGGGCCAGTGAAAGGCTTAACCAAATCAGTTTCCATTAACATAAGGCGCCGGCTACAGTTTTCCTTGAAAATTGCTTAACATTTTCCACATTTATACATATGTGGGTTTTTTTTAGATATCACTTGGAATATTCAAGAATGTTTTCCACATTTTATAATCTAGTCTTTGTTGGACGTACTATACAGCATTGTTTTTGGAAGGGATATGCTGATAGAAGTTTATTATTAGGAGATAAAAAGTTGGAAAAACAAAACAATAGATAAGAATTATTTACAAATTCTTTAAGAATAAATGCTATCTTAACAAATTTGTAAGACACCAAGAAGTAAATTTACTTAATTTTATTGAACAGCTTAAAAAAATAATCTGTTTAATTAGAATGCAAATTAAATTAATAAAATATATTTTTAAATCTAGGTATATTTTTTTTTTATTAATTGAGGAAACATTATAAGGATCTATTAGAAGTCTGTCATAAAATACAAATAGTTTCCTCCTTAACATTGCCTTTTTAACTACGTCCATGTCTTTCATTCACAC